TATATATATATATATATGTTTATATATTTATTTATTTTTATTTTTTGACAGATAACCTTAGTGTTTACAATGCATTTAACAGTTTCGCATGTTTAACATTTCTCTCTTGTCTGTTTTGTGGTCCTAAACTTTCCGGTTTATCATCTTTTTGATTGCTCAGATCTTTTATTATTTTGCAGAATCAATTCTCTAAGTTTATTCATAAACTTGTGTGGATTTCTGGAAGATGGGGCAGCTTTGCACCGCAGGAGACTGATGAGGAGGACATGAGCAGGACATGAGGAAACAACTCGACACATCTAATGGAATAGAGCAGTCTCACCTCTCTGACATACAGGTGAGCAATAAATCAGATTAATAAGATTATTATTGTTCATATAAAAACAGAGCCTCTGTTATGCACCTCAAGAAATTATTTAGAATTTGCTTAAACATGACACAGTTTATTGAATTTTAGTAATGCATTTCCCATACTGTAGTATTTCTTAAACTACAACAGTGATGATAAGACTATAATTGCATGTATTAAACCTTTTTTTTTTTTTTTTTATTCATCCAGCAATCATGGAAACCAAGGAAAATGGATCAGTGGACACCAAAAGGTAGGTGTATAAAGTAATATTGGGTTTGAGTTGAGTCCAAGTGTTTAACAATTGAGTTTGAGTGAGAAACATTTAGTAATGTCTTGACATCTTAATTTTATGTTGTTGCTGTACTTTTTACTCTTTCATGTTACGCATGAAGTGATTTCGACTGTACTCAGTCAAAACTAGCAGGCCCATTTCATCACAAGGCCAGAAATATCATTTTCATCACTGGCTCTGACTCAGAAAAGTAGAACTTACCTTCTCAATCCATTTATTTAGCCAAGCTGCTGTTGCTTCCATTGTAGAAATTAAAACAATGAGGAATTTTAAAGATTTTTAATTTCTTGTTCCCATTTAATGGACTATTTTTGGAAATAATTCATTTTCTGTTTGTATAAAACAATTCTTGAGAAAAAAAAAAACATCACATTTAAATAAATATGCTCCACACTGGCTGAAGAATGTGGATGGGTGCTTTTTATTTAACTTCTTTTGGACTGATGCATGCAACACCCGCTGAGTGCCATGAAACAGCTTGAAAGATCAAAGACAATTTTTAATATAACTCCGACTGGATTCGTCTGAAAGAAGAAAGTCATATACACCTAGGATGACTTGAGGGTGAGTAATTTATGGGTGAACTAACCCTTTAAGGCCTCTCAGTTATTTCACGAGAAAGACAGTCATGGCAACCACACTGAAAAACAGTGTCTTCTCGGCTAAAAGAAAAAACTCCCATATTCTTGTGTGCTGTTACATAGACAGTGTGATTTCTCTGGACACCTATTTTAGTGGTATTTTACAGTAGATTTAAAGAGTTGGTTCACCCTAAAGTGAAGATTACTCTCCCTCATGTCGATTCAAACTGCTTGATTTATATGGATTTATTTTATGATGTCTGTATGCACGTTTTGAAGTGTCAGAGTTCTAATGGAGGGAGAAGAAATCTCTCAGATTTCATTAAAAATATCTTCAATTGTTTTCCGGAGATAGTCTTATGGGTTTGGAACAACATGAGATTGAGTAAATAATTTTTGGGTGGAATTATGCTAATGCATCAGTGAAAACTTTTTCTGTCCCTAACAGTTCTGTGGAGAATGGGCAGCTTTCTGATCCAGCCCACTGGGCCGTAGCTGATGTGGTCAATTATTTTAAAGCTACAGGGTTTGAGGAGCAAGCCAACGCTTTCCAGGATCAGGTAGGAATTTGTTGTCATATTCCTAAATCTTATTTGCTGCACCTTTTTTTTTTTATATATTTCTACATACTAACCAGATTCAGAGTTTTTTATGCTCATCAAGGCTGCATTTGTTTGATCAAAAATACGGGGAAAAAAATTAATATTGTGAAATATTATTATGATGTTGTAAAATAACGTTTTTCTATTTTAATATACATTAAAATCTAATTTATTCCAATATGCTGATATATTTTCAGTGCTGGAAACTGTTGTGCTGCATAATATTTTTTTGGAACCTGTGATACTTTTTTTCAGGATTCTTTCATGAATAAAAAGTTAAAAAGAAGAGCATTTATTTAAAATAGAAATCTTTTCTAACAATATACACTACCATTCAAAAGTTTGGGGTCAGTAAATTTTTATTCTTTCTTTTTTTTAAAGAAATTAATACTTTTATTCAGCAAGGATGTGTTAAATTGATAAGAAGTGATAGCAAAGATTTATATTGTTAGAAAAGATTTCTATTTTGAATAAATGCTGTTCTTTTTAACTTTTTATTCATCAAAGAATCCTGAAAAAAAGTATCCAAAAGTTTCCAAAAAAATATTTGGCAGCTCAACTGCTGACAACATCGATAATTCTAATAATAAATCAGCATGTTAGAATGATTTCTGAAGGATCATGTGACACTTTATACTGGAGTAATGATGATGGAAATTCAGCTTTGCATCACAAAAATAAATTATATTTTAAAGGATATTAAAATAGAAACCATTATTTTATATTGTAATAACATTTAGCAAGATTACTGTTTTTTCTGTATTTTTGATCAAATAAATACAGCCTTGATGAGCATAAGAGACTTCTTTAAAAAACATTACAAGTCTTACTGATCCCAAACTTTTAACTTTTAGTGTATGTATAAACTTTAATACAATTATAAACATCCTTATTGTCACCTGTGACCAGATGAATGCATCCTTCATTTAAGTCACTTTGGAGAAAACGTCTAAATGAATAAATGTTCATAACAGAAAAAGCAATAGACAATTTACAAAACATTCTTGACTGAACGAAATAAGTCATTATTTTTCCAACCATTAGAAATGCAGTGACATTTTATCCTTGCATTTCTCCCAAACATTTCTCGAAAGGTCTGACCCCCAGTTCTCAACAAAAAGAATGTACAGTAATAACATGGTTTGTATTTACATTTTTGAGGCAATTAATTATTTGTTGAGCTAATCTTTATTATGTATGATATACTTTAGATCTGGAATATTAAAGGGGTCATATGATGCGATTTCAATTTTTCCTCACTGGATAGCTGGCTAATCAGAGCACACCTCGCTTTTCAGACCGATTAGTTTTGTAAAAATCGACGCGTTTCAGAAAGGCGGGGCATAGAGGAGAAACAATAATGTACAGTATGTGGAAAATTTTTTTTTTTACTTTAAACCGCATAAACACATTTCATTACACCAAATACACAAAATAATGTTCTTTTTAGCAGCATCATATGACCCCTTTAAACTATATAACTATAACTAAATGCCTTTTTCATGTTTATCTCTCATTTATCTGATCAGTGGAGCAGCGCTTCATCATTTTATAAGACAATCATGTTATCAATAGATAATATCATTTTATTATTTATCTCCTGTGTCTTTTTTGCTCAACTTTCCCCGACAGGAAATCGATGGCAAATCCCTTTTATTAATGACTCGAAATGACGTTCTGACCGGACTGTCAATAAAACTGGGTCCTGCACTGAAGATCTATGAGTATCACGTCAAGCCTCTCCAAACCCAGCACTTAAAAGGTAATGTCTCATAGCTGCTGCAGCCACATGGACGCATGGAAGACAATCACAGCAGGGGCGCAGGGTAACTGCACGCAGAACTAATACATTTTATGCATCTTAATAAATAAACATGGTGAATTTATTGCTTTTAAGGTCTCATTCTGCTGTACAGGTATATTTACTGTTTTTAGTTTACCTACGTTTAACATGTTCATTCAGATTTTACCTTCACTTTGTGTGCTTGTACATAAATCATTATTGCTTTTAAGTTTAATAACGGGATCTGTGATGAAAAATGGCTTGAACTAAAATTGAAACACTATTCTTGAAGATGTTTCTGTGTAACGCATGAAGTGCTTTTGAACGGAAATGAGAGGGAGGTTGCCGCCGCAGTTGTGATTTTTATCGGTTTGTTGATGTTTATTTTTCCTTTTTGTTTTTCTGGTTTTTAATAGATAAAAAGTGTGTTGAGATAAAGTAACAGCACAAATGATCAAATGTCTGAAAATGATGTATTTGCTGTGGTTTACAGCTATAAAGGCTCAACGCATTAGGGCTTTGTTTGCAGGAATCCTGTCAGAATGACAGAGCTTTGTGCTGCTATAAATTCAGTTTATTTATTTCATTCTGTAACTAACAATGTGATTCCCGATGAATTGGTGAATTGCTGTTTTTGAAAGCCAGCACAACACTGTAAATCTACAGCGGTTGGGGATACAGGGTGTTTTAAAAGATGAAACAAAAGTGAGTGTAGACTGCAATAAATGGTGCTTTTTCAGACTGCTAAAAAAATCCACATCCTGGTCCTCATTACAGTGCTGTGTGACTTCCTTCCTTTTGTGTGTATGTGGTATTTGATTAATATCTAAAAAATGGATCATTAAATGTAATAATCAATTTTCCACTTAAAACCAATCTCCTTAAACAATGAAATCCCAGATGTTACATGCATGTTTATCTGATTCAGTTTTCTTTTTTTTTTCTAAACTTGATTCCTTATTATAGTAAGGTGATGAAGCTAATTGTTCTTTAATGTTAATGATGATTTTAATTGTGTTGTGTTTACTCCAAAAACACTGCTGTAAACACCTTTCAACTCCAAACAAACTGAAATTTTATTAAAATCTACATTTTTAAAATCTATTATAAATGAATTCAAACAAAGAAGTTATAAAGATGAACACTTACACATTTTTGGACTATATTTATTAATATATTTATCCGAGATGAGAATGATGTTTTCATTTCAACAGTTTTCTATTTTTTATTTTACTTGTGTGATTACACAAAAAATACATGTTTCTAAGTTATAAATTAAGTTTGTTGAATGTTTAGACAGATAATCATGCCTAACTTGAGATTGCTTTTACAGGGTTTATTTATAAGATGTCTGGTTTGTGAATGTTGTATTTCTTTTTCTTTACATTTTGGCCCGTGGTTTTCTGCGTACAGTGCCTGTGATGTTTCCTGATGGATTATCAAGGGGAAGATAAACCTGAAATGAAAGCACAGCAACATATTGTGACGTGAATTTAAAATATAAATACAATCAAAGCAACATCATTACTTTATCATCTCTAAGTTGGGATAGCAAAACATCCTTCTCCTGTGTGTGTGGTTTGTAAAAGTTTGGCAATAAAGTCATTTTAAGAGTAGCAGTCTCACAAGTCCTGATTTTGTCAGAGCCTGAAAACTCTAGACTTTGTCCTTTGTCAATAGAGAAGTATATTCAGACCGATCTGAACTGATAACCTCTGTTTGACTGACACTTTTTTCCAAAGTTTTCCAATGGATTTCTGTCACTCACCTCATCCTTGTTTGAGAGTCCAATCTTTGTCATGTCAATGACAAAGTAATGCTGATTCGGCATAATTATCTCAATTTCTTCAACCTACGGGATCAAAGTGATGACGAGACTTATGTTTTTTTACATTTACTTTCAAGTATACTTATAAATGAGTAACATAAAGCAATAAACCAAACACTATAACTAAAATCTAATGACTGAATGTAAATGTCAAGTCACACAAAACTGAAATCGGTTTAAGTTACCTGCGGAATTCTGTCAAGCACCAGAACTTGTGTTTCATACAGAGTTTTCTGAACAGAAGGAGAGTATTCCCCACGATCGTAGGGTCCTGCAAACGTCTGAATGATGGTGTCCTTAACAGTTTTCCTACAAGGAAATTGTCATTACAGTAAGCTATAATACACAGTACAGCATGTAATAGAACATATAACATATCATGTGCTATAGAATGTCTAAATGTTTTGCATTTACCGTGCAGCATCAAATGCCACATTCACATGAGTGTTGTAGCGCCATCTTGCATAAACAGAAGTGCAGAAGAATCTGTCCTTTGCATCTGTCAGAGTGGTGAAACGGTCCCGTAGGAAGCCTTCAAATCCAGACTGAGTAGTCTTCAGTACCTTCATATCTTTTATACCGCTGTGAACCACTGGAGTCACTGATAAAAAATATATATATATTTGCTGAAATAAAGCAAGAATATACTTTCCCCTTAATACTTTCAGACTACCATCACTAGTTCAGAATCTCATTTTTACTCACTACTCAAATGTTGTTCTACCTCACAGAAGTGCCTGGCCTCTGGACAATGGATGAAAGCATGTGTGTGCTCGACTCCATTCTGTTAAACATATATTAATAATATTTTGGGTATTAAATGCGTGTTAATCAGCTATATGATGCTAGTCAATAAGTATTATAGTGTAGTTAATAAAATGTAATGTATTTAATAAAAATCAATTATATAATTTAAACATTTATCAAACAAAATGGCATCTGCAAATAATTCAATGCTAGAGCATGCTTTTCTGTTGTTGTTGTTTTTTATTTATTTTTTATTTTTATTTTAAAAAAAATATTATTTTATTTATTTATTTTTATTTTATTTTTATTCATTTATCTTTCAGTGACTGGTGTCAAGGTGATTTTTAGTGGATGTTTGAAGTCAGATCCATTTAGGCCTAAGTTGGCTAGTCCTAGCACCAGAGTTATCAGCTATCCCATGGGGTGCCTCAGGGTTCAGTTATTGGTCCCCTTCTCTTCTCGGCATAGACCACCTCACTCAACCCAATAATAAAAGTAAACAGCTATTCCCATCAGTGCTACACAGATGATATACAGATGTCATTCCAACCTGGCACTATCTGCACTATCTGGCACTATCTCAGATTGTATTTCTGCTTGCGATTCAGGCATTTTGGCCTGGGTGAAGGGATGCCACCTTCAGCTTATCTTTGCAAACACAGAACTCCTGGTCAGCCCAGCTAGACACTTCTTTTTAAAGGCACTTTTAAAATAATAATAATAATTATAATTAGTTATTTATTTATTTTATAAACTTTTCTGATCTTCTCTAGCTTTGGATCTCTTGCAGTACCGTGGGTATTGTTGGCTTTTGTATAATAAATTACTTGTGATGTTCCTCATTCCTAATTGTTTTACTAAATGACTAAATATTAATACAAATGTACATACTTTTTGGGAGTCACTGTATATATTCTGCTTTAGTGGTAACACAACACCTTTTCCAGCCTTTTCCAGGGAACTTCATCAATGTTGACCCTCACTCTTGTGACATGACTGAACGCTGTTAGGAAATGTTTGCAGATATCCAGGGCAAAGCCCTCAATGGTCTTAATCTGCAAGACAAGAAATATTCTGTGCTTTGAGGCATACCATCATGGCTTAATTTAACAAAACATTAACTGTTTAATTGCAAGATGACTTAACTTCATTTAATAATCATTTCATAGAATACATTAGACATTCTTGTTGATTATCTAAAGTAATGTTGGTTGGCAATCACTCTAAAAATGCATATGTAGCTGTTTCTACTTGAACTGTGGTAGTTATATTAAATATTTGACTTCTAGGCTAATTTATAACATGAAGTACCATATTATGTAACAAAAATTATGTTTACAATGTAATTTTTGTTTGCTTTCATTTATATTTGGGGAAGACAATTATGAATATACTGTAGGTAAAATAAGTAAGGTGCAGGGGCTAAACTAAATGAATAAAAGGACCTACTCCTTTTAGTTTGGCGAGAGCGTGGACAGTGTTTTTGATGGTGTCAGTGGGGATGATATCAGAGTTGTCTCCTGTCAAGTAGTCTTCAGGGTTAACTGAACGTCTGCAATCAGCTCAGTAATATGGTGATGAATCCCTTCACGGCGAATGTGAAAAACTTTAACCGTATTCTTCCCATAGCCTGTTCTCACAAACTCCACATTCTACATGAGACATGTTATTAAATAATATTGCAGTTCAAATGGATTTTTTAAAGAGGCTGGTATGCATCCACACACATACAGTATGAATGAAAAACAAATTTCTTTACCTGATTTGAGGTAGTGGCCATGACTGTAACTGGAGTTACTGACTGCAACTGTGGTTGGAGGAGGTTTTGGAGGGAGCAAAGGGTTTTGCTGAGGAGGTGGTGTCACATACCAGTTTTGATGTTTTGGGTCCAAATGATCAATGATCTACCCCACCTCCATAAACCTCTACAGAGATTTTGATTTGCTGAAAGCCCTCCAAAACAAGCCACCTCTCCTCTCTACTAATGTCTGCCACATAAAGGTTTTGAGGACTCTCAGTTTAGGTGTCTTGCGCATATTGTATTATTCATTCAAAGAGCAAACATTCACCGGGACAACGATATATTAAACTATTGCATTTCAAGCATTTGCTGTGAAATCATCACTGATTATTCTTAAGTAAACATAAGAATAACATTTATATTGTTAGTAATATTTTAAGACAAACACTTACTGGGATGAAACTTATACTTCATAATCAATACTTTTTTTTAAAGAAAAATCATGTTTAATTGGAGCAAATTTGATACATGAAGTTCCCTATCGATGCTTCACTCGTACTGCGTCTTGCTTAAGACGCAATGGGAAAACTCCATTTTCTCCGATGACTGAAGCCTTTTCAATAACGCGTCGCTCTACGAGACTCGAAGCCTTCGCCGTGAACAAGCCTCGCAGCGGATCTAGACCCCTTCCTGCTTCCTGTCTTCCGGTCCCCTGCTGCCATCCGGCGATTTCTCTATTAGAGCAAATTTTCTCTGCATTGTTACAAAAGCCGCGCTGTTATTGTCGCTCCTGCACGCCGCTGACAAACACTGCGAGTGTGTTTCATGCTTGGGCACCGCCCACGCTGAAACTGCACTCACTGAGACGGAATGTCCTCATTGCGAGGATATGAGTCTTGCCTCTCTACGCACACGGTTAGCTTTCTTTTCAGAAAGCGACTCTGTCCCTCACGCCCTCCTGCTTCCTTCCTCCCAGAAACCTGTGAGGAAAAAGCAGTGGGGCAGAGGAACTCGGCGCTCGGAGACAAGTGAGCCCACACCGGCTGAGCCCCCGCGTACCTCACTCTCTCCTCATAGAGAGGTTTCTCCCGTCCTCTTCGCTCACCCGGACCAGCGTCCCTCTGAGGCTGCGAGCGATCTGGTCCCATTTGGTGGGAGCAAGTGCGATGACATGGACGACAGCATGTCTCTGGCAGCTTCAGATGCGGAGGAACTGTCAGGCTTGTCCAACGACCCCGCCCCCCTGCCATCTGCACAGCCCAGCGCAGCCAGCACAGGCATGGATGCCAAACTGTTCCGCGTCCTGTCTAAAGCTGTGGAGGAGCTGGGTTTGGAGTGGTCTCCTCCTGAGGAACCCACCCGCAGCTGCCTGGATGAATGGTTCTTGCCGGGGTGCCGTCAGGCCCCTTGTCAACAGGCTTCACCATTCTTCCCTGAGGTCCATGACGAGATCACCAGATCTTGGTGCGCCCCCTACTCGGCCCGCTTACGTGCCTCTTCTTCGCCCGCCCTCACATC